ACTTACTCTTATGTGTCTTCTTACTTTGCTCCTTATTTGGGTGTGCCTCGGGATTCTTTGAGTGCCCCCGTTTATGTTTCTATTCCCGTGGGAGATTCTCTTGTTGTGGACCGTGTTTATCGGTCATGTTTGGTTACTATTCGTGGTTTTGAGACCAGAGCAGACTTATTATTACTCGGTATGGTGGATTTTGACATTATTTTGGGCATGGACTGGTTGTCGCCCCATTTTGCTATTCTTGATTGTCACGCCAAGACCGCGATGCTGGGTATGCCAGGTATTCCGCGTGTTGAGTGGAGTGGTACTGTAGACCACACTCCCAGTAGAGTTATCTCTTTTCTTAAAGCTCAGTGCATGGTGGAGAAGGGGTGTGCCGCGTATCTGGCTTATGTGAGAGATGGTAGTGTTGACACCCCTTCTGTTGATTCTGTTCCAGTGGTACTGGATTATCCCGATGTATTTCCAGCTAATCTTCCGGGCATGCCGCCTGATAGAGACATTGATTTCGGCATTGATCTGTTGCCGGGCACTCAGTCCATTTCCATTCCTTCGTATCTTATGGCTCCTCCTGAGTTGAAGGAGTTGCAGGAATTGCTTGGTAAGGGTTTTATTCGACCAGTGTTTAACCGTGGGGTGCTCCTATTTTGTTTTTGAAGAAAAAGGATGGTTCTATGCGCATGTGTATTGACTACCGCCAGTTGAACAAGGTTACAGTGAAGAACCGTTATCCTTTGCCTCGCATTGATGATCTGTTTGACCAGCTTCAGGGCGCACAGGTGTTTTCTAAGATTGACTTGCACTCAGGTTACCATCAGTTGAAGATTCGGGAGCCAAATATCCCGAAGACTGCCTTCAGGACTCGATATGGCCATTACGAGTTCCTTGTCATGTCATATGGGCTGACCAATACCCCTGCAGCTTTCATGCATTTGATGCACAGTGTGTTCAGGCCATATCTTGACTCGTTCGTGATTGTTTTTATTGATGATATTCTGGTGTATTCCCGGAGTCAGGAAGATCACGAGCAGCACCTGAGGACCGTGCTACAGACCTTGAGGGAGAAAAAGTTATATGCAAAGTTCTCAAAATGTGAGTTTTGGCTGAGTTTTGTGGCATTCTTAGGCCATGTGATTTCTAGTGAGGGTATTCGGGTGGATCCGAGGAAGGTAGAGGCCGTGCAGAGTTGGCCCAGGCCGTCCTCAACTACAGAGATTCATAGTTTCCTTGGCTTGGCGGGTTACTACCGTCGTTTCGTGGAGGGATTTTCATCGATTGCTGCCCCTATGACTAGATTGACCCAGAAGGGTGCCCCATTTCAGTGGACAGAGGAGTGTGAGGCCAGCTTTCAGAAGCTCAAGACAGTTTTGACTACAGCCCCTATCTTGATGTTGCCTGCCGGTTCGGGGTCTTATACTGTCTATTGTGACGCCTCGAGAGTTGGCCTTGGAGCAGTGTTGATGCAGGACGGTAGGGTGATTGCCTACGCGTCCAGACAGTTGAGGGTACATGAAAAGAATTACCCTGTTCACGACCTTAAGTTAGCTGCCATTGTTCATGCCTTGAAGATCTGGCGTCATTATTTATATGGAGTGCCTTGCGAGATCTATACTGATCATCGGAGTTTACAGCACTTGCTCAAGCAAAAGGATCTCAATATGCGTCAGAGGAGGTGGTTAGAGCTGCTGAAGGATTATGACATCACCATCCTGTATCACCCGGGCAAGGCCAATGTAGTGGCGGATGCCTTGAGTCGCCGGGCGGAGAGTTTGGGGAGTTTGGCATATTTACCAGCTTCAGAGAGGCCTATGGCGATGGATGTTCAGGCCTTAGCCAGCCAGTTCGTGAGGTTGGATCTTTCGGAGCCCAGTTGGATTCTAGCCTGTGTGGTTTCCGGTCTTCCCTATTTGCCGTATCAGGGAGCGGCAGTATGATGACCCTCATTTGCTTGTCCTTCGGGACAAGGTTCAGCGTGGTGATGCCAGGGATGTGACCATTGGAGATGATGGAGTATTGAGGATGCGGGGCCGGATTTGTGTGCCCAATGTTGATGGCCTTCGAGAGATGATTCTAGCAGAGGCCCATAGTTCGCGGTATCCCATCCATCCGGGTGCCGCGAAGATGTATCAGGACCTGAGGCAGCACTACTGGTGGAGGCGGATGAAGAAGGATATAGTTGGTTATGTGTCTAGATGCCTTAATTGCCAGCAGGTGAAGTATGAGCACCAGCGCCCGGGTGGGTTGCTCCAGCAGATAGAGATTTCGGAGTGGAAATGCAAGCGCATCACC